CTTCACCGGGAGGCAGAAGGTTTGCAATATGTTTGTGCCCCACTTAAGCCATATTTTGATAGCTTGCTTGGGATTTAGTTGGACATGAGCTTTGGGTGGAGTGAAATGTGTTTCTAAATCCTCACCATCCTTTGCTGCATCGTGAAGTGATTTGTCCATCTGGTCCTCTTAGTGAAAAAAACCTCAGTAGTTTCTGTGCCCAGACAAGAAAGCTCATGGTGGAAAGCTTTTTGTTTTAAGGACATTGATGAAAAGGAAGGATTTAATTAAGTGTAAGGAGAGCTGTTGTTGAGTAGAGCAAACAAGTAATGTAGACTCTTTGGTTTGTATAACTGGGATATATTTTCTCCTATGAGAGTTCACTGACATTTGCTTTCTGAGTGTATAGATTAAGAGAACAACTTTGATATGAACCAAGTTGGGAGGACAAGTGCTGGTTTTTAATGTATAGAAGTCATCACTCTCGTGCAGCATTTTAAGAACATAAAAGCAGCTGCAGTTGCCTGTACTTACTCCCTGTAATGCCAATTTTCTTTTCTTTCTGTAACTGATCCTGTTAGTAATCGATGCTGGCTGATACTGCATTTCTTAGAGACACAAGGATTTGGACTTGAGTGCTCAGTGTGGGTTTGTATCTTTAGATATTACTTTTTTTCTAAGCAGCTGCGACATCTGAGTTTGCAGTTGTCTGTTTGCTGTGTCCCTTTGGTGCTTCAGCCTCCAAGCGCCTGAAAAATCATGAATGAGAACTGGGCAAGCAGAGAAAAAGAAACCGGAGTAATGATCAGTTCCTTTATGGGAAGATATTTAGTTTTTATAAAGGCGTGAGACTGTAACCTCTGTGCTTTTGTTTCCTCTGTTGTAGGCTGCCTTTCCCTGCGGGCGACCGGGTAACTTTTAACGGGAAGGAGTGCATCTGCCAGAAATGTTCCCTGCCTCCTTCCAGCAGCACTGGCTCTTTCCCCGTACAGAACCTGAGAAGTAAGTAGGGGTTTCTGCTCTTTTCTGTGGGTACTTCACAGCTTGAAAGAACACTGACATGTTTAACTGGAATTTTTACCACCACGCTGCTTAAAAGATGTCAAGAAATACAATGTAGTCGTGTGAAAAAGTACATGGCAGTTTTCTGAGAAGTCTGATATTAAAAAGAAGCACAAATGGTGCCATTATAGGGGTAACAACTCCCAGAACCTCCCGGAACATTTGAGTAAAACTGGAATAAATCAAATTATTTGGAGAAAGGCATAATACAGATGTTAGTATTTTTGGGGATTTAGTCCAACTCCAGCTAAAATAAATTCAAACATGATATTTACTCCTTTGTAAGTGTTCCAGGGTGCTTCAATGTCATGGCAGGACAGCTAAGTACTACACAGGAAGGGTTAATGTATACAACATGACCAGAGGGATGTTTGCCTTGACCTCAATACTGTTGTGTACTACCAGAAGATGCAAACACTGCAGAGAAGGAATGTGGTCTTTTCGTAACACGTTTTTGCAGCAGATCATAGTGTGGCATCGTTGCTCTGAACGCTGTTCCTCTGCTGGTTTGTTCACGAGGAGCTGCCAGGCTTTAAAATTCATCCACCACCTATATGTAATTAAACATCAACAGCAATTCAATTAAAAGCACAGAAATATTTTTAATGACTATCATATCGCATCGAGCTTTGATATGGCATGGCTGAGGAAAGACCCCATAGATTGCTTTTCTTTGTGTGCAAGGAATCCAGCTCACTTCAGGCAGAAATTTCGCCTTTTTTTTTTTCTTTTTTCTTTGTTTTCCCTCACATCTCTCTTTTTACAGAAGTTTCCACCATCTCCAGTTTGTCAGCAAAAGCTACTTTTTTTTTCCCCCCCTCTTTTGGGGAGGGGATGGCCCTCTCTCTCTTAGGTGCTTTCTCTCTCGTCATTTGTTCCAGAGATGGATCATCCTCAGCCATTTTGGCTGGCTGCTTTTGCAGATCCATACTTTAATGGCCTATCATCTGTTTGTCTCCTTGTCATATGGGAAAAGTGGCTTTGACTATAATGGAAATTATTTGCCTGGTTGAGTACTGACAGAACAACTTCATTTGATTATCTGTGATACAGCATCCTTTAAAAGGTCACTGCACCAAGCCTCCCCGGTGCACAGGTACCTGCAAACCTCAGCAAACCACTTGCCTCAGAGAGAAGGAGCACGGGAAGCATATATTTGTGGCAAGACCTGACCTTGGAAAACAAAAGTTTAACTTTTCCCCGAATAAAATCTCAAACAGATGCAAGTATTTAAACCTGAAATACAGGTCTGCTTTAAAACTCATGCTAAATGGAGGAAATCTTGCTTGCTACAGGTTTTGGTTGGTTCAGATAAGAGTCTTGGTTCAAAGATGGGTATCTGCAACACTGTAGGCTGGACTTCTAAAACAATTTGATTTGGTCTTCACCTGAGACTAACCAGCTCTGCTTCTCAGATGATGTAGTGATGGGAGTGAGCTGATAGATACCATGGCTTCTTAAAGGGCAAACTGAGGTCCATATCTGGTCTACAAGTAAACTGTGCCATGATGATGTCAGGATCCCAGATAAATATCTTCCTTACCTGTGTAGGCTATGTCCATTCTTATCTCTTCCTTACTCCATTTCCCCAGTGTCTTGCAGTGCTGCTGGGGGGCAGCATCCTCGCATTTCAGGGTGATGTGCAGCACCCAGCTGGCCCGGGAGCTGCAGAGCTCATGGGCTTTGGGAAATTGGGTGGCAATAGTGTAATCCCCCCTTGGTGTGGGGAATAAAGCTTTCATGGGTCAGTGGAAGCACTGCAGCCACAAATACATGGAGGTGCATGCATGTAGATGTAGCAGGGTATATCAGAGCCTGACCAATGACAATATGCAGAAAATTAACCAAATATGTAAAAAGATAATAAAGAATTTGGGAAACATTCAGATTAATATGGGAAAGACCAATGTGTAATAACAGCTGTTTTCCAAGCACTTGCTAATCCTTAGAGTAAAACCAGTGTTTCAGGAATAAACAAGCAGTGTCAGAGACATTTTCTTGGTTGAAATGGAAAACTGAAAGTCCAGGATGGCTGTAGCTGTGCTACATATTACACAAACCAAAAAATGACATTAGTGTCTCCTTGTGTTAACAACAGCCTTCTTGGAAGAAACCTTAATGTTTTAAATAAACAATTCTTTTTACAAAAGAATAATAGCACACAAAAATACATGACTTAAGCCGGCTGAGTCAAGGACCAAGTACTGTGTTGACCCGCTGTTGCGTTGGGTTTGCTCTTGGTTCAGAACTGCCTGATCCGCACTACGTATGTTATTTGTCAGCCTACTTATCTCTGACTTGAGCTCAAGAATGCTTTCAGAGCATCTCTTGGGACTCACTAAGCTCCCAACATCACTGTCCCTACTGACCAGTCCTTCTGTTTTCATCCCCTCAGTTTGGTTTTGACCTCCTTTATGCATTGCATTTGAAAGAAATGAAGAATGTCAAATACTTGCTTTTTCCCCCGAGTCCTTGATTTCTTTTTATTATTATATAAATACCTAGCTACCTGTTTTGTTTATTTTATAAAACGCTAGCTATGAAAACCTCTTGTGGCAGTGTTGATGCTGAAAGAGTACGCAGGGAAGAATATCAACATGTAGCAGCAAATTGATGTGTTCTGCAGAGTTATTGGTTGAAATTAGGTGAGTCACCAAAGGATGCTGCATCCAAGCCAGGAAGACAAGGACATTGCATCAATAGGCACTGTTGGCATAGCAACCACAATATTTGTTTTTAATTATCTGGAATTTAACAGAGAAAACAGCAGTTAGGAATAAAAAAGTAGCTCACAAAATGCTGCATTTCTGCTCACCCAAGCTTAAACCAGATGAAAGTTGAATGACATCTGAGCACACAGTGTTGTATTAAGTTTGTGAAATAAACCCTCAAGCAGCGAGATTAAATTAGATTACCAGATGAACCTCTGGTGCAGGGGAGATCTCAAAAAAAATTCTGATTGCAGTTAAAGAATAGATACCGCAGCATTTATTGTCTTGTGGGACTAAATCCAGGCACACACCCAAATGTTCTCTTTTATTAGCAAAACTCAAATGTTCTGATCTGTGGTGCAGACACTTTTGTGCTGGGCTTGTTTCCACATATTGGTGCTCCACGGGGTGATATTAGAGAGACATATTATTACTCCCTTAATCCATTCCAAATCCACCAAAGGAAAATAAAAACTATCCTTTATTGTTGTGTGCTCAGAAATTAAACATTTACAATCGCACTAACAGAGTGTCTCATTAGGGTCACGTAACCAGCTAAATAGAATCTTAAATCAGAAAGTTTTTAAGAGGACTGTTTAAATCTTTTAATGAGATCCTACGTTTGAAGTTCTTTCTTAATAACTAGATAAATCTTTTTTAATGCTTTTGTGTGTCTTTCCCTTCCATGCAAGACATTGTTGTGGGTTTGTTTTTTCTCTTCAGGCATCTCTAAATGACTCTTCAAATGTCTTTCAGGATTTGGTTTTTTTCTCTAGCAAATTGTTGGTATACATAAAGAATTAAAAAAAAATTACGTGTTTTCCAATAAGATGGAAGGTATAATCATATGGAGCGTTAGAAGGGTTACTGAGATACTGATACTATAATAAGTTTATTACTGATGTTTTTCCCTTTTTTTCTGCATATTCTGACTATTTCAACATTTTGTAAGAAAATTAGACATAGATCAGAATCTGTAGAGAGTGAAGAGTGAATGAGAGCTGGACCCTGTAGGGTAACAGAGGATTCATTTAGGAGAGAGAAACCCAGGTTCGAGTCCCATGTCAGTGTTCCCGAAAAAGAGCCCTCACTGGTGGACCGTTGGCATGGAAGCTGAGAGTGGGTTTGGCTGTTACTACATCCATCATTACAAAAAAAAAAAAAAAAAAAAAAAGACAAAAAGCAACCAAACCCCCAAAAAAGTCTTGTCCTCAATTGCTTTTTCTGAGAAGTATAGCTACTTCTCGTATAGCCTGTTGAACCAACATAGCCCAGCTTACATTATCCAGCTGTGACACATTTTGCATTTAATTTTCCTTACAACTTTTTGTAGCTTTATATGAGTGAATTTCTATAAATTATAAACATAAAAGTGAATTTCTATAATGAATAAATATATAGTTAGCCATCACTTTCAAATGTAGCAATGTCACTGCTACTCAGGACTCTGAAATGGCTCTCAAGTATTGGCATATTTTTCCTGGTTATAGAAGTTCACATCAGAATTTCAGCTTAGTTTTTTCCACAGCTGCAAAAAGAATTTGGAACTACAAGTAAAGCTTTCAGGCCCAGAAGCAAAGTCTAATATTGAAGGTTCAATTATTTGTTTTAATCTCATGACTTTTGGGTCTTTTTAAATTAATTTTATTAGGCTGATTTGTGATGCTTGAAAACTTAATAGGCAAAACTTATCTTTTAAACCAGTATAAATGAATTAAAATAAAACCTAAGTCACTAGGAAACCTACATCATTAGTGTTTTCTTTGAATGATTCATGTCTTGCAGCAATGTTAGGACAATATTAGGGCAGCACTGCTTGTCATCCGTCAGTGAGCAGCCAGCCGTGAGCTTTAGGCCCTGCACGAGCTGTTACCAGGACACCGGTGGATCCTCACACGGCAGGAACCAGAACTGTTGCGTGACTGTCTGAAGTGGGTGATTCACTTGCATTGGATTTTTCTCTTGCAGATTGCGGGGGCTGTGGTTCAGAGATAAAAAATGGGCAGTCTTTGGTTGCCTTGGACAAACACTGGCATTTGGGCTGTTTTAAGTGCAATACATGCGGCAAGCTGCTGAATGCGGAGTACATCAGCAAGTAAGTTGAGTGGAGGAGCATTTTCACTTTCAGCGTTCTTTTAGTACCAAATAATTAATTCAGGTGTTGCATATCCTTTAGTTTGTATTTATCAGTGTTTGGAGATATAGAAAAGGTTAGAGATTATTACCTAAATTATTATCTAAATTGTATTAAACACAGAAAAATTCAAATTAAGAAAAATAGAATTTGTCTGTTTTACCTGGAGTGGGACTTCCCCAAGCTATAGAAAGGCAATGGGTGGAGTATGCCCTTAGCTGTGGTTGACTTTGCTCTGTGTGATGCTGTAATGTGGACAAGCAGATATTATCCTTTCCATGTGTTTCACATAAGCAAAAATGTTCTCAAAAAGTTCATTAAGGAGGTACATATCATACTTTTGTGCTGCTCCAAACCCTCGTGCTGTCAGATTTGTCCTGAATGTGATGACAGCAATGAGAGGCCGCACAAAGCACACACGCAGACCAAGTCCCATGTCAACACTCGCATCAGCCCGGTGACATACAGGGCTTTCACTGGCCAAGGCACCTGGGATTAATTTCTGCTTCACAGAAGTGGGTTGATACGATGAAATTTTCCTAAAGAGCTAAGTAACTCAATCACCAGTGCCCAGAGATGGTGGAGTTTCAGAGCTGATGTCCCACTGACTTTCAACGATTCTTGGGATTTATTTTAATACAAGCATAACATTTCATTTCACAGCTTGCACTGGAGGCTGAGAAAATAATATTTCATAAAAGGGTGTTCTTAAATAAGGTTTTGCACTATCTTAATTGTTACGCTACTCTGTATTTTGGTATATTGCTTTTTTTACTTGTTATTTAATATAAAAACCCCATAAATTGTAAAGATACAGTTATTGTGAAATCCTCTTTTAAAAAAAGCTAAATGCCAAACAAAATAACTCGAGAAGAAACATCCTTGCTTCAATGAATTCAATTAATTATTGTGACAACTTAAAGATTAGTCTCTAAACAATCCAACTTGTAGGCTATAAAATTAATTTTTATGTTTCTCCAGGGAAATATCCATTAAAATTGTGTGTCTGCTAATAAATCTGTCTGATCATGGGCTGTTTTAGCATAGCATACTAAACATACTTAACCATGCTAAATATGGATCGCAAAATGAGCAGAAGGATGGAACACCTCTGCTGTGAGGACAGGCTGAGAGTTGGGGTTGTTCATGGAGAAGAGAAGGCTCCAGGGAGACCTTATGGTGGTCTTTCAGTACTTAAAGGGAGGACAACCTTTTTAGTAGGTCCTGTTGCGATAGGACGAGGAGTAATGGTTTTAAACTAAAACAAGGTAGATTTAGACTACATATAAGGAAGAAAATTTTTACAGTGAAGGTGGTGAAACGCTGGAATGGATTGCCCAGAGAGGTGGTAGATGCCCCATCCCTGGAAACATTCAAGGCCAGGTTGGACGGGGCTCTGAGCAACCCGATCTGGTTAAAGGTGTCCCTGGTCCCTGCAGGGGGGTTGGACTAGATGCCCTCTAAAGCTCTCTTCCAACCCAAACCATTCTGTGATTCTGTGTTTAACTTGCACTTTGAAACAGGAGAAGAGTCTCCAGTTTTTTCTAGAGTAATTTATTTTCATTCTTCGGTTTAGTGGTCTACATGTAAAATTCAGTAAAATTGTGATCTAAATGTAAAATTAACAAACAGATTCATTTCAGAGCAATAACCCAAGTGTTCTGGTTCTGACTTTTTAGAATAAAAGCTAAGACTCTTGATTTTATTCTTCATATATTTAAACTGCACATTATCTAAAATCACTTTTGGTGGTGAAATAACCTCACATCATGCATGAATGTACTGCAAGGTCTCTTCTGCTGCTCAGGTTTAGGTCTCTTAGTCATTACTGGCTTCCACGGAGCAGGTTCCCGAGTTGGATAATCCAGGGCTGTCTTTAAGCAAGTCCAGTCAAGAATGTCAGTGGACTTAAGTGTTAATTAAAACTTGGTTTACAGTCAAGATAGTTGAGAAATTACTCTGAAGTCTAAGATAAGTACAATTTGGTGGTAAATAAAGAGGGAAAGAATAATATGTAGAAATAAAAATGTTTTCCAGAGTGCAAAACACGTGGAGGTATTTAATGAGTATCATTCTCAGAACAGATGGTGTGAGAGTCTCAGAGATCGAGTGTTGTGACTGGGGGAGAGGCAATGGCTGAATTCAGCAGCAAAGCAGGAAAGTGGGATCATGGTAGACTCTGACGGGCCAGAATAGGTCATTACCTATTCAATTATTTACAGAATTAGTAAATACAAATATTTGGGAGGGGGAAAAGTCCATAAAACCCTGTGAAGTGTTGAAGCATTAACAGATTTTAGCTGTATAATCTCTCAGTAAACCTGTAAGCCTACCTAAAGCAATCGCTGTATGGCCTGTTGTTCTTTCCTAGGGATGGCATTCCATACTGCGAAACAGACTATCATGCGAAGTTCGGTATCAGATGTGACAATTGTGCAAAGTACATCACAGGAAGAGTGCTCGAGGTAAGGAGAACCTGTCATTCAAACACATCTCAAAGGGTACAAAGAGACTTGCTCTTTTGGGTCTAGTCGTATGCTCACAAACGCATGTTAATGCAGCGGTTTAATGTTACTTTTGTGAAATGCTATGAACTACTTCTAGAGTTCTTTTCTGTTTCTTCTCTTAATGGTTGTATAATACACGTGCTCCCTAAATGGATATTTGTGGTACCGGAGAATGTTCAGGTAGCAGATGTAATAAGTGAATTGGGTTATCAGGCACATTTTAATACTTACACTAAATTCCTTTGTAAATGCTGCTCTTTGGTTCTGTTTTACGTTCCCCAGAATTAGGGTGAAGCTGCTGAAAAACTATAATAAATTATTTGAGATGTATTTTGCACCCAGAAATGAGCTATATTGCAGGGTTTTTTTGAGTTTGTTGTCTTAAGAAGCAAGGAGATTGTTTAGTGTAGGTGAATGTTTATACTTCATGCAAAAGAGATTTCCACGTAACTGACCCAGTGTCAGAAATGGATATATTCCTTTGATCTAAATGGAATTTATCATTGGCTCTAAGTGTATGGTTATCCAATCCATGTTACCATTTACCCACTTTGTCTTTCTGCCCTTTCCCCATATCTTGTGAAGCCTTAACAGTACTGGAGCTAAGAAGAGGTTCCCCAGGTCACTCAGTTCACTCCTTTCTCTTCACTGGTTAAGAAAGCCTGGAAAAGTCCTGAAGGACTTCCACCAGAAAAAGATCTGCTAGGAGTTGTACAAAGACTTAACTGCCCAAATGGTGGACAATTACGGCTGTGGAAGGGACTGAGAAGCAAGTGGAAGGAAACAATCAGTCCATACTGGATGGCATGGTATGGTGTTAGGGTTAGGCATGGGAGGCTTTTCCATTTCAGATGTTTTTACAGACATCTCAGAAAAGAGACTTCTAATAAGGGATTTGAGAGCATGTAAAGAGAGCTTTCTCACTATTTACAGGTGGCTTTCTCAAGTGAGAAGGGCAAAACAGAAGAAAACATTAAGAAACCTTCCAAAATGTAAGGGGTGACCAGTGGAAGCTGCTACATGTTTTTGAGAGGTGTCAGCCTTTGACACTGAATGGAAGGTAGTAAGAGGGGGTGGGCTTTGGAAGGTGAATTTCATTAACTTATGTTTTGATGTGGTAAAGAAGAGAGAGAGTCTCATGGTAAAAGCTATAGCAAGTTTGGGGTGCATTTACCCATAGTGGTTTGCAGGGGGTGATTAATACTAAGGTGGGAGAAGAACAGAAGCTCCAGTTTCTCTACTGACTCCTGGCTTCACAATATTATGTTTTTCTGTCCTGATTCTTGCTTTGAAATATCTGTACAAAAATACTCCTTTTATTTGGTAATATTTACCTGCAGCATGGTTAAACAATAGCATGTGGTGTGATGTGATTAACAACTGGGTCCTTACTGTCTCTGTGGAAGATGAAAAGAAAAAAAAAAAGTTAAAAAGAGGATTTGCATAGTAACAGTGCTGAGTTGGATTTGTGGGACCTGGGGGCACATGTGGCTGTATCTGTTTCTTCTAACTGCTTGGTGAGAGCGTACTGATGAACAGGAGGAGAGTTCCTTGGGGTTTTTTATAGGTGGAATAATAACAAACTTGAGAGAAGTTAATTCTTTAAAGCTGTCATAGGAGTTTTACCATGACTGACTGAGTCTGTGGTTGTAGTTCTAGGTGATGTTTTCTGTTAGCGCATGCGTGCCCCTTCCAGTGTTGCTCTGATGGCAGTGCTGTAGCACTGATTCTCTTTGGTACTGGTACCAGCTGGGAGAAGCTTTGATTGAAGTCTGCAGCATTTAATGGTGGGGAAATTGCTGGTGGAAGACTCTGAAACTTAAAAAAAAAAAAAAAAAAAAAAAAAAAAAAAGAGGAAGAGAAAGGTCTTTTGCAATCTGTAAAAGCACAGCAGTGCCAGGTTGTGTCACTGTCAAATAGTAAAGAAAGGATGTAGTTACTGTGAAGCAGGTGATGGATTTGAATAGGTACAATGATGCTTAATGTCTGGGGGCTTGTTACAACAACCTGGGAACTTTATGGTCTATAACCTTCTTTCCATAAGATTGCATAAAGCAATATGTTGTTTTGTGTGTAACAAAACTAATGAAGCCTGAATAGGTGAATGTCCTATGTCCTAGCATCCTGCTGTCACGATAGGTTGTGTTTGTCATGATGTGTCCCAAAATATCTGCTCCCATCCCCTCTGTTTCCCTGTGAAATCTCTTGAGAGCTTTCTTTACATTTCCACAGCCTGTTTACACGGTCAAGAGGTGACACACCGTGTGAGGCTCCTTCCGCTGTGATCAGCCTGTGATTTCCATGAGCCTTTGGACCTCTGTAGGGGACCACGTTAAATGGCTGTTGAGTTTCAGTGTTGACTGTGGAGAGCAGTCAGATGAGGAGATAGCACACACACCTCATTTCATTAGGAAGCTAGACTGAAAGTCCTGACCTAAGCAAACAGATATGAAAGAACGCAGAGACCGTGTCCATAGCTAACACAGTTAAGTCATTTGTTGTTCGTCTGCAGCAGATGGACTTGTTTGAAAGGCTTGGAATTGGGGCTGATTCTTCTGTCTCTCTGGTATCAAACTTGGTGTGTGTTTGTCACCCACCAGCTTGCAGGTACATTTGTTTATCTCCTGGTTGGGAGGATGGAGAAAGGAAAAAGTAGTCATGGCTGCTTTTTGTTGTGAGATGTATTTTTTGTGAACTTGTCTAGCATCCTGAAATGTTTTTCAAAGCTTCAGTATTTCTTTTTACCGTCTTGAATATAATCTGGAGATACACGGAAATAATAGGCCAAATGGCTATTAAAGTGGGGGGAAAACTCGACAGCAATACTTATTAGGCAGAGGAATAGTCTCCCAAGGGAGCTGCTGGAAGCTATCACTTAGATCATATTAAAACAAGATTGGACAAGGCACTGGAAAATGTACGTTAGGAAACAGTCCTGCAATGACAAAGGGAGGGACTAGATGACCTAATAGGATTTTTTCCATCTCTGATTTCTGTGATAATATCAAGAGGACAGCTGCTTCCACAATTACTCTGTGCCTAGATTTTATAATATTGTCTCCCTTTCCAACACTTGTTCATTTTAAGTGTTTATTCAGCAGAGGAGGAAGGGAGAGTCAACTAGTGTGAGTTACTGATAACTTATAAAAATATGGCTGTTTTTATAGGTTGGCAGCCAAATAAAATGATGATTTAGTTACTTCAGTTCTTCCTTAGGCCCATTTTCTGAGAGCCAGATTCATTCCATGTAGTAAATGGGCTTAAATACAGGATAGCTCTGTTTATAATTCCTTTCTTGTTTCTTTCTTCCCCTCCAGTCCACCTTGGCTTGCCCCCAGTCTCCCAGGGAACTTGTACTAGAAAAGCTACAAAAGGGGCAGAGCAGCTAATTTATGGAGACCATAAAATCTTCTATTGCTTTTAAAGGCAACAGTTTTGCTGTTCTTTTTACAAAACCCCTGCCCACCAGTGCTTTTATGGGCAAGGTTTGCTTTGCTCGTGAAGCATACAGAGCACTGTGTAATGTAGCGTCAGTCCTCTCCTAGAAATTGCTATGTTTTATCCCTGACCGTATATATTGATAGACCTACCATCTCAAATGGGGAGCAAGAGGTGGCTGGAGTTCCCTTTGCAGTTTGACTGAAAACCTTTAGGGAGAAAAGGGGTTTATTTTGGTGCTTATGGTATAGCTCCATTCCCAATCCAGCAATAGCTAAAATCATGCGATAACACAGAAAGTAAACAGATTTTAAAATAACAAGCTGTTGATTTTTATAACCAGCCATTTCCCTTTTGTTGTGTTGCAATCTATTTCTCTGCATTTGGGACTAAAAATATTTTTTCTCTCTTTTTCTGTCACAAGCAGTTATTTATTAATTAAAATCGCAACTTGTGCTAATGAGCATATCATAAAAAGGGACAAAATAAGTGTAATTGCCTTTTTTCTAAAAATATACTATATTTCGCGTGATAATTCAGAGCCTGAAACAAACCCCTTCCAATCAAGAAAACACCTTCCATTTGTTTCATGATCTTTAATCAGTCTTCTAGCTGTGTTTTGCGCGGAGGAGGGTTGCCTGCCTCCCGGTTTGTCCCACACGACAAGCCGTGCGGAGGCTTGGAAGGCTGTTGAGGTGCATGGAGGAGCTGTGCTCCAGCCAGTGACAACTCCTGGTCCCCTCCTGGGGAACATGCCTGGGTTTCCTTAGCACCTGATATTTAGAAACTCAATTACAGCAAACTCTCTCTTTGTAAGTGGTCTCTGTATAGTTATTCATTCTTCTGATAGAAATTGATTTTTAGCTTGTTTGATCCTCTCCCCTTTAATTGATGAACTCTAAGGAGAATTTATGGAGAACAGTCTTAGTTCCTCCCAACTCTTGTTTTGCAGAACTGAATGAGCCAAATTCTCCTCCACTCATAAAGTCAGCTCCAGGCTCTTCTGGTGATGCTGGTGGACCTTCTCACTGTCTGTTCCCACCTTTTCTATGCATGGATGGACACTGATGATGCCTCACCACTACCCCGTGCAGTGATAGTAACCCCTTCTGCTGTTTCTAAAGAAAGTACTTTCCCTGGTATATCTCACACTGAGTGTGGGTTTTTTTCTGTGGCTTCATTGACAGCCTGTAGTGAGATATGACTTGATGGGGGTGGTTCTCTTCATCTTCTGTTTCAGCTAATGATGTTGTTAGAGGAAGCCTAGGTTGCTAAAGGAAGCCTTCATATCCACTGATAACCTCCTGGGGATGTTTTGATGGCAAACGCGGTGTAGGCTGCAAGGGGATCAGGTGTGATTGCTTGGATAGGCAACTGTAGCCCAGTGATGGCCAGGCTTAGTTGCCTCTTAGCAGGCTTCCGTGACCTGGTACTGGTAGCTGATGAACAAACTGCATCTCTGCCACTACTAGCTGCTGTTCTGAATTTCATGTGAAGAAAAGTTGACAGTGGAGCACGTT